AGGCCCCTTGTATGACACTTGGAATTTGTTCCTCCAGATCAGTCAACCAAAGTTTTTATCTGGAAGTTTTGAGACAGTGGCATCACAATTTGCAGAAGAAACGTCTTGAGTTGCAGCAAACAAGTGACTGATTTTTCCACCATGATGATGCACCTGCCCAGACCATGCTAAATGATCAGCAGTTTTTGACCAAAAACAGCATGACCCCTGTGTTTCACTCTCCTTATGAACCCAATCTTGCCTCAAGCAACTTTTTTTTGTTTCCTCCCATAAAAAAAGTCCTCAAAGGGAAATATATTGCCAATATGGAAGAGATGAAACAAAAAACAGCAGAAGCACTAAAAGGTATCCAAATCGTCAACCTCAAAAACTATTTTCAGTAGTGGAAAAGGCATCTCAATAGGTATATTGCATCAAATGGAGAGTGTTTTGAAGGTGATTTAAGTTAAAACATGTAAGAATGAATAAAAAATTTTTCCTTTTTCTTTTTTTTTTTTTTGTGTTGGAGTCTCACTCCTTTGCCGAGGCTGGAGTGCAGTGGCACACACGCTCACTGCCACCCCAGTGTCGACCTGTTGGACTTCGGCGATCCTTCCACCTCAGCTTTCCGAGTAGCCAGAACTACAGACGCGCGCGATCACGCCCGGCTATTTTTTAAATTTTACTGTAGAGACGAGGTCTCGTCAAGTTGTCTGGGCTGGTCTTGAACCTGTAGGCTCAGGCAAACCACTCACCTTGGCCTCCCAAAGTGCTGGGATTACAGGCTGAGCCACCGAGCCTGGCTTAATACTTTCATTTTCTAGTACTTCATTAATAATTATAATTTTGTTTTTTAATGCTTTGAAGAAAAATTGATTCTTTCTATTTCTTTCATGTTAAAACCTATAGATAAAGAGGCTGGGCACCGTAGCTCATTCCTGTAATCCGAGCACTTTGGGAGGCCAAGGCAAGAGGTTTGCTTGAGCCCAGAGGTTTGGGTAACATAGTGAGACCTCGTCTCTATTTCAAACAAACAAACAAAAAAAACAAACAAAACCCTATAGATAAAGAAAATTAGCTTTGGTATTTTAGGATGTCCCTAAATAGGACTTTTATATCTACTATGGTAACTACAGTTGACCAGATTAAATATGGATAGTCTCTTTAATAGAGAAAGCTTACCCAGAACTTCAATTTCGAACTCAAAGGAGGGAAGAGGGACCCCCAAAACCCCTGGATTTATTTACTGAAAAATTGTGGTCGGGCTCGGTGGCTTTGGGAGGCTGAGGTGAGTGGATTGCCTGAGCCCACGGGTTCGAGACCCGCCTGGGCAACTTGGCAAGACCTCATCTCTACAATAAATCAAAAATTAGCCGGGCATGGTACGCGCGCCTGTAGTTCCAGTTACTTGGAAGGCCGAGGTGGAAGGATCGCTGGAGCCTGGCAGGTCGAGGCTGCGGTGGCCGGGAGCGGCCACTGCACTCCAGTCTGGGCGACAGAGTGAGACTCCAACTCAAAAAAAAAAAAAAAAAGAAAATGAAAGTATTTTCCTCTTTGAACTATAACTTTCAGTTCTGTAATTCCTTTCATTCATTAAGCAGTTTTTTTATTCTGGTCCCAGCAACATCAATACAAATCATATAATTAAATTTTCCTAAAGCATCTTTCATTTGTATAAATCCCTAACTGTCAAATTTCACTGCCTGTAAATGGGAATTAATCAATTGCTTCATCCACTGGATCACCTTAATGAACAGATTTTGAGAAAGACATGGAAGCCTTACAAAAAGGGTGTCCCCATTCCACTCTCCAATTTCGTTATTATAAAATGTTAAACTTGTACAAACTCTTTTTTTTTTCTTTTTTGAGACAGGTTCTCACTCTGTCCCTCAGGCTGGAGTGCAGTGGTACAATCCCAGCTCACTGCAGCCTCAACTTCCTGGGCTCAAGCAATCCTTCTGCCTCAACCTCCCAAGTAGCTGGGACTACAAGTGTATGCCACCATGTCTGGCTAGTTTGTGTGTGTGTGTGTGTGTGTGTGTGTGTGTGTGTGTGTGTGTGTGTGTGTGTGTGTAGAGACAAGGTCTTACTGTGTTGCCCAGGCTGGTCTCGAATATCTAGATTCAAGCAATTCTCCTGACTCAGCCTCCCAAAGTGCTGGAATTACTAGTGTAAGCCACCACACCCGGCTCAAATTTTTAAATTGCCTAATTCTCTCCACCAATTATGATACAGATAAAAGAGAATAACTTTTATTTGTTTTCCTACCAATGAAGAACACTGATACACTGCAAATTATGCATGATTTTAAATTACAAGTAAGATGGACAGAAACATCTACATTGTTCAAAGCTAAGGAATGGTTGGTGGAAATTACCTTCTGTGTTGGACCTTGAATACTTGTTCTCTCTCTTTCTTCTTTCCTTCAAGACCTTATCGTATCTCAGTCACACCCATTTTATGTAAAAGAAAAGATCTCCCTTGAACTCAGAAATCATTTTTCAGTTATCTGGGTAAGAGGCATATTTCTAATGCCGGGCTTAGTGACTCACGCCTGTAATCCCAGTGCTTTGGGAGACGGAGGCAAGAGGATTGCCTGAGTCCGGGGGTTTGAGATGAATCTGGTGAGACTTTATCTCTACAATAAATCAAAAAATTAGCCAGGCATGGTGGCACACATCTGTGGTTCCAGCTACTGTCACCTAAGGATCACCTTAGCCCAGCAGGTAGAGGTTGTGGTGGCTGTAAGCGTGTCACTGCACTTCAACCTGAGTGACAGTGAGACTCCAACTCAAAAAAAAAACAAAGAGGCATATTTCTGAGACTGAAAAGGGAAACCAAAACTCCTAACAGTAGAACTCAGGCCTCTTGATTTTAATGGCAGCAAGGCTGAGAAGACAGCTCCCTGGAGGTGTATGGCCCATGGTATTACCATACGGTGACAGTCAAGTCTCAAAAGAAAGAATACTGGGAAGGTTCAGTTGGGGCTAGTAGATAAATATTCCAAATGCCTGGACCTGGGACAGCATCTGAGATCCCTGAATTCAAGCAAATTAGGAAAGGATCAGGTCAGGATTCTTTTTTTATTATTATTCTAAAGATGGGGTACAATTCAGGATTAGGCATACAAGTGGTCATCGTACAGGTAAAGTTTGGGCCTCCCTTTGGTCCCCACTTTGCCTGGTTTGAGATCAAGTACCCTTGTTGATGTTGTGTCCCCACTCTGGCAGTATCCTGCTACTGCCCAGATCAGGATTCTGTTGGGGTTTGTTTTTGTTTTTTTTAATACTCCTGGTATCCCTTTTGTTTTTCACATGTATTAGAGAAATTGTTTTGAAAATCCAGTCTATCTCAACTCTGCCAAAGAAAACAAATCGTAGGTTTTGCCTTTGTCTGAGCAATCATGAAGCCAGAAGAACATGGCAGAACACAAAACAAATTTAAGGGAAGATGAAAACAAGGAAGGGGGTGGGGTTACCCGCTCAGTTCCAAACCCTGGGAGGTCTAAGGCATGAATTAGCAGGGATGGCAGCATTTTAAAACAGATATATGGTGTATTATTTGGAATACATTCCATTTTTTACACCAAAACACAGATTGCTTCTGCATGAAAATTAACTGTATTATTTGCAAAGATACAGAGAATACATTCTCTATGGTACAGAGTCATACATTCCCTATAGCATAGTGCAATACATTGTTGAGTAAAAACCATCATACTCAAACTTTTGTGAATAGTAAGCACTTTTTTTTGACAGTATAAACATGATCTGTTTTCCCAAGGCTTGGTCCCAAAGTACATTTATACAAATGCAAACACTTGTTTCATCATAAAATACTAAAGGTCATCTAAAATTTTGCCAGGTAGTAATTACTATAATTATCATAGATATTAATACTTTTTTCGGCAACAAAATGTGTCTTGCATATTATGAAATAGCTGTTCTGCGGTATTAGCTACTTTTAAAACAATGAAAATAACATATATTTCAGAATCAAACCACCTAGAAATGTCCTTACTACTGTCCCAATAATGTAAAATATATTAATACCTTTTTCATTCAGATAAATTATATACTTAGAAGCTACATATTTAAGATTTATATAAACTTATATAAACAAATTATGTCATATGCTAAAATTTTAGGCATATATTCTTAAATTAATTTTAAATATAAATTCTCAAGATAACTCGATGAGTAGTTCAGTACTTAACATGTTGAAATTTGTGAAATACATCATCGCAAGCATCATAATTGTGGTACAATTCTTAGGTGAAATTTGCTGGAACTTTTTGAGATATTCACATAATTTTCACACCTGCTGGTGTTGAGATTAGACAAACTAAATAAATCCAAAAGATTAGATTAAGTTTCTCAAGTCTATCTTAAAGTATAAAGATTTAATTTGAAGCACTGATTTTCAAAAGGATAACATTAGTGTGAAATTTGAGGTAATTAATTCCCTGATACCTTATGGATTAGAATTCTTCTTTCTAGAGGAAGAAAATGGTTTTTTAGAACATGCACTCAATAGATATCACTAAGAAGCCAAATATTTTGTTTATCTCTCACATCTAGGAAATGGGGTGCTTTAGTCAATGGAATATGCTCAAAACTTTAAAAATTTTTAATTAAAAAGTACTTAACTCAGAAATTACTTTTAAAAAATACATTCAAGCCGGGCTGGGTGGCTCAGCCTGTAATCCCGCGCCTTTGGGAGGCTGAGGTGAGTGGATTGCCTGAGCCCACCGGTTCGAGACCCGCCTGGGCAACTTGGCGAGCCCTCATCTCTACAATAAACCAAAAATGAGCCGGGCG